TGGGCAGGTACTGGAGATCTGTGGATAGTTTAAGCCCTGTCACAACCTTCCATGTGGTATGGGCTGAGTTATTTTATCCCCTGAACCTAGGCAACCTCTTCTGTAAAACTGGAGAATAATGTTGCTTCCTGAAGCCCATACCTGCCCTCTGTGTAGTATCATGGCTCTGTGTGTCTGTATAGCACCTAACTCAAAGGCGGGCTTTGAACATTTCAAATAAGTGTAATATAAATAAATTATGCTAAATAGCGATGATCTTTCTAGCTAAAATAATCATTTGTGCTTTATATCAGGCTGAAAGACAGCATTTTCCCCCCTCTGTTTTCAAAATAACTCAGCTGAGCTTGAGCAATTCCCCTCAATATGGTGTAAACTACATGCTCTTATCATCATACCATCAGTAATATGGCTTGTTGCTGCCTGCCTGCGGTCACTTGGCATCCTTTCTGTCTCATGGTCTTGTTGTCCTTTTAGTTGTTATGCTCCTTTTCACTTCTCCCTCTGTTTCCCTACTCTGCCTTACATTTAACTTTTCCTCAGAGTAGATTCATCCGTGATTGAACTCTAACCCTCCTTTCACATCAATGGCATCTGCAGGCAGGGGCAGGGGAGTGAGAGAGAGGGTAAACCAAGTATATATTTCTTCTGTCTACTGTTGCAAAGACTGGAGAGGTAAAAGGGATGGTCTGGGCTATTTGGCTTCTCAAAAGAAGAGCCAGACATCAGAGAAGAGAATTTCAAAAGTGCTCATCTCTTTTTCAGGCACCAAAGTATGTGACCAGGTTGTCAGAGACTTCAGCATGTCCAGTAATGAGTTTTCTTGGAAACCTGTCCAGAGCTGACATAATGGCAGCTCTGTTGCCTAGTAAGCTGTGTTGCAAATCTGGCCTCAGGGACGGTGTTGACGTCTCATAAATCTGGCATTTTGCCTTTACTGGCCTTTAAAGTACCAGTTAAATACCTCGGTTCAGTTAACCCCAAAAGCACGTGCTCCAGGCTGTTCATACTCAGGGTGGCAGGGAAGCACATGATTGGCCTATAATGGAGTTCCAGTAATGAGTTAGACTCATGCATCATTTCTTGAACTGGAAGATTTTCTTAATTAGGTCTTCACTGTGCATCACTGCCAACATGTAAAATTCCAAGCCGCAGCTGCCTGCAGCTTGAAAAGCTCCATGTGATTGTAGCCCTTGACTCTACGGTGAGCTGGATCAGACACGTTGTCTGCCAGTCTTCCGTTTGTTCTCCTGTCATCACAGCAATAGGACACCTCCATCTCTGATAACAGATTTGGCACATACCGAGAGCAGGACCATCCTCTGCTGTCTATGCTGGGCTTGACTGAAGTCCACCCCTACCCCCAAAATCCCATCTGCAGCAGGGACCATAAACATTTGCCTTGAGAAGAGTGAATACAGAGTAAGGGCACACAATGCTTCCCTCTATTGTGCTCCCAGCGTCTAATCGCTCCCAGCTGGGGACCGACCTTCGTGAGCTGGATTTGGTCTTCACGTATTGGGTAACGCACAACGTTTTCTCTTCCCTTAACTTGTTGAGTCTCCCCTTGGACTCAGAAATTTTTAGCTTCTCTGAATTCCTATGGCAACGAGTTCCACACATCTCCTACTCCTCTCGTTTCTTTTAAATCTGCTCCTTAGTATCTTCTTTTATATTCTGCCCCCACAGTTTTTGTATTAAAGAACACTCCTTTTACCACTGTAAGAGCAGATACAGCGGCCAGAGGTCAGAGGTTTCCACTACTACACCCCACATTTATTTTTAGCAAGTCTGTAATGTCAAGAATTTCCCAAAGGCCAATAAAATTTTATTATTGTTAATATCGCTGTTATTAGCAGTTACACTGAGTCAGGTTGTTATGATTGTCCTGAGTCAGATTGTTACAGTACATGTTGTGGGGTAGGAAGAAGCAGTGGAGCTGACCTTTGAGTTTCTTATCCTCTGAAACCGCTGATGCTGCAGGCTGTAAAGTACAGCAGGTTTTTCAACTATGAACTAGTCGATCTCAAGGTCAGAATAAATCTGGAATTAAAGGAACATCATGACATGTTGACTGATATTTCTGTATTACATCTTCTCGTGGTTGTATTTTTAGATAATTTTATTCAGCAACTATTTTAATATGCTTTTGGTGAGAACTGGAGCCTGGAAAAGTGAAAGCCGTGCAATTTTTTGATCTAGAAAACAAAAGTATAAAATACGGGGTGGGAAGGTGGCTGTTAATGAAGTTCGAATTAAAAATGCAGATTTGCAGCATTAAGAATACCTAACTTCTGGAAAAGATCATGAAGGAAGTGTGAAGGCACTCAAGTCTCCATCATTGGAGGCTGTAGTCTAAAGCTGATCTGCTTCTAAAAAGTATGTTTTAATTTATCCACATCATGGGGTGGAATCTATGACATACATAACAGGGTCGGACTAGATGTTTAGTGTGGTCCTTCCTGACGTAAAACAAAAACAAATTTAGAGATTTTTTCCATTTTTGTTTTGCACCAACTTTTCCTTCTGCACCCTCCAGTCATTTTACAGAACAAGGAGCTGAAGTAATATTTGTAACATATTTATAACATGTTTATTCTATGTTTTCTGATTCCCAATCCTGACCTCAAACCACTAAACCAAGGCTTCCAATCTGTGGGCCTCCCAGCTTCCGTGATAGATTTACAACAGCAAAGAGGTGCACCAGATTATGCCTTTCAGACATAACCTATGATAAACTTCTGACTAAATGTGCAGTTTTCTGTCTGTGGAGTCATGGTGGAGTGCTGCAGTTCAACAGAATAAGATGATTTTCTCTTCCTTTTCTTTTTAGAAAGAATAAACAGTCAACAGAGAGAGAAAATTTGGAAGAGAAAGGCGAAGTGACAGTAACAGTAGAAAATGGGATTCCTTGCGAAACACTGGATTTAAAAGCAGGCCACGTTAATGGAGTCTTTGCAGCAGATGATGAACGGTTCACGTCCTTATGAAATGCTGCCATCGCTATCTGATGGTTTTTTGAAAGACTCCTGTGCCTACCTTATCTCGTCACTACTCCTGAATGTCAAACATGAAGACAAGAAAAATGTCCTTTCACTTAATTTCCCTCGAGAGAAGCTTTTGCTGATAACACATACACTCAAACCTCCATTACAAAGCTTTTGTTCATGAGCAAAGCAAATGAGAAGACCTCAAATGATATCCGTTAAAGATTTCCAGAAGATATGTGGCAGAACAGGGTTGAAACCTGCCTTGTGTCAGGCGTTTAATTTTTAATGATTATTTAAATATGTCTATTGCTTGTTTTTCCCTGATATAAATGTGAAACTGCATTATTCCTGAATGTCACCGGGGAGATCATTTATCATTGTCAATTCTTGCTGGGCTTTCTTTCAAGCCATATGCAAGCAAAAGTTTCTCTGTAAAATGACTTCCGTTTGCTGATATGCAGTGTGCCTTTGGATGGAATAGTGATCAGTGCATGAAAGTTTTAATTTATGGAGGGAAAAAAAAAGCAAGCTTTTACAGTCTCCGTAAGAGCAGGTTAAAAGCAGCTGGGTCATCTGTCGCTTTAGGACTACCAAGGATCTGGTACTAAAAATGTTTTTCACTTAACAGCCAAAGTCACAGATTACATGACCTGGAAATTAAAGGTTGCAAAAGTTTGAAATTTGTTGAAATTAAAAGTTGCAAAAAAGGGCAGATTTTCCAAAGGTACAGTTTCTGGTTAGTGGCCCAGCTCTCATTAAATCTGTGAGGGCGTTTCGCAGCTCTTTGAAAAAAATCTTCCTTACATTTTTTAATAATGGAACTAGAGCAGATTTCCAAGACATAGCGAACCCGGGGTCAGCTGAACTCTTCATGTGACAGCTGGATAGCTTTTGAAAAGATTCAGTGCTTGAAGCACCAGCTGCTGGCCTTGATGCACCCGACCTGAATGAGAACGCGTAGGCGGTGGTAAGTCGGCAGAGGCCGTTCAGACCTGTGTTTCCTATCTGTGTGGCTGGGAGTTGAGGGCATCAAATGGTGCCGGACCCTGAACTGCATTGTTGGATTACTTCGAAGTCAGCCATACATACAGACTGTGCTGTCTGTGCCCTAATCCCATTCCCATTCACATCGGTGATAAAAGTGATACTGATTTCAGAAGAACTGGGCCCCAGTAAAGGGGAGTTGTGTGTGTGGTTAACTGCACATAGAGAGTGGAAGTGTGTTGAAGCAAAATATGGTATCAGCAGTCACCAAACTGGAGGCAGGATTTGACCATTAGCCATCCTGTTTCCAGTGTCACGTTTGGAGGCAATATCAGAAAACCCATTTACATATTAGGGTTATTCCATCAGACAGGGTAAAAGCTGCTTGTAAAGGACCCTCCAGTGTCCCAAACGGTACAAAGGTTTCTTGTCTCCCAGGGTACAAATCCTTCAGCATTTTGGCTGTATCGAGCACCTTTGGCTGTCCATTTGACTCAGTGCTGGCTTTTGGGTACGGGGTGAGCAGAAGGGGAGGAATGGGGAGGAGAAGGGGAAGCGGCGGGGCGAAGGGAGGAAGCTGAGTGGGGGAAGCCCGAGGCTAGGGGAGGCGGGGAGAGGAGGGCTAAATGCAAATTAAAACTATGGAACCCACTGATCATTTGCCTCACGTGGTCCTATCTGTCACAGTTGTCTTTGATGTCCTGCCGGTGGGTCCCTCTGGACAAGGACTGCGTCTGCTCTGTGTCCCAGATGGTGCGCTGCTCCATTCTGGAAAGGATTAATAAAGTCAGTTACTAGTGATAATATCTCAGTGCTTCAAAATCACCATCCACAACACGGAGATGTATTTCTCAAAGGAATGTCAAAGATTAAGCTTACCAGTGTTTAAGATCATTTGGAGGGAGGATATAGAGTACAGTGTTATTATTGCTTCCTCAGTCATTGCTCCAAGGTCTTTCACTCAGGCAGAGTTCTATTGCGGTAATTCAGATCCCACCATTTCTAAACCTTCACACTTTTGACATTCTTTGTATGACAGCTACACTGCAGTATGACCACAATGGATTGCTGTAACTGCGGCACCTCTGCAAGAACCCCTGAAAGATTTCGGTGAGAATAGCTTGGCAGTGCAAGACCAACCTCGAGCTACCAATTAAGAATTTCTGTTATCCTGTATTGTACTATATGGTATCGAAATAAAATTCACTTGATACGAAAAAGGGCCAAGCATACCTGAGCATGCTTCTCAAGGCCTGAGTGAAGGTTCAATTCAGCCCATGGCACTGGCCAGCGATTTGAAAATAGATTGAAAGCCTCTGAACAGAACATGTGATGTGGGCTGACTCTGGTGGTAAGTTTTTAATCACTGACTTCCTCCCAGCTCACCTTTTAGCCGCGTAATTACTTTACAGCAGTTTGGTGTAATTTTCTGCTAATGATGATCTGGGATTCACCCAGAGCATACATCTTGCTTGCCTCTCTGCTGACAGAAAATGGCTTGAGAGAAGCAAATGATACATGAACAGGCAGGTATCACACTTAGCAATGCTTTGGAGTCAGTGTTGGCATTAGCTCTTTCACTGAAATAGGTACCGCAAACTAGGTTAATCAAGGGCACAGTGCTACAGAAGAAATAAATCTCTCTTCTAGTCTCTTTGTGCAGCAGGATCGTATTAGAAAACAAAGAGCACTTTGATTTGGTAAAGCCCGTCCTCCAGAGCCTGCAAATGGTACGACGATAATTTATATCCCTTGAGGATCTGGCCCAGGTGTTTTATGTAACTTTGTAATTTTTGCCTTTTTTTCTCTAAACCACCCACCATTGAACGACCTGATAATAAACAGGAAAGTGAGTAACAAGCAATATAGACTATACTGGAAACTACTTCCTAAAAACAATGAGTCGGTTCTGCTTTCAGTTACATTTGTGCTGTGCCAATGAATTTCAACGAAGGAACACGGTGTGCCCGAGACGGAACTGTTTCATTTTCAAGAGCTGCATTTGAGAAAAGAGAGGAGAAAAGAAAATTCAATTAAATGAAGCAATAAAGCCAGAGAAGTTCTCTTTGAAGAAAATCTGCAATGTTTATCGCTAGCTCCACATCCCCAGCGAGTTGACATTTCAGGAAGGACATTGCAGTTCTGTTCAGCTTACTTGAGAGAGAGAGTATTGATGCCTAGGCTAGAATGAGCAGAAATCATGCATGAGTAAGTTGTTTATGCTGTCAGTCATTAGCTACACATTTGGAGTGCTGGAGAACGTCAGGATCGCCCTCCTTAAAGGAGGGACCGAGTCGGTTGTGACACAACCATTTGCTGTGCGCAACCTTCAGCATTGTATCGACCACAGACTGGTTTTGAAAACGAAATTAGTAATCCTTTTTTATCAATATTTTTTTAGGGAAGACTGCAAACTGTGGGCAGATGCTGAAGTCCTTACTCGAGCCATTCTGCCACTTGCTTTAAGGAAAGCTAACTGCTCTGTTAGCTTTTTGCAAGCTGATGCTTACTCTCTGTTGGAGGAAACTAGACTGAAGCTTGTTTGGTCACATCAGCATTTGCCTCTTCTCTTCCAGGACAGTGTACAAAGTCTTGAGAGAGTCTGTCTGTGGTACTCTCCTCCAAACATCTCCCTGTTAGCCCACCTTGAAGTCTGGTACTCACAACTGGACCCAGTATTCCCCCAGGGCTCTGCCGGTGCTGAAGAGCCTGGAGTGATGACCTCATGGGCCTCTTGCAGAATATATGCTCCTATTTGTTTGTCCAGGTATGACATTTGCTTCTGTGGCGCTGACCTTCAGGGAGAACACTTTCCTGGCTACACCTTTGTAAAGGGACACCTTTGTTCTGCATTTTGGGGGAAGACATAGCTGAAGCCAGTTCACTGTTTCTGCCATTGTTCGCAAAAGAGAAGGGTGAAGCGGGCACAAGGAGCCTCAGGGCAGGATTCAAGTCTTGTTCCTTCATCACTGTGAGAATGAAATAATTCCCAAATTAATACAAATCATGGCATTAGCACAAGAGCTTCTGGTTTGATAATTTGGTTCCAAGAACTGGGCGCCAGTTTTGACCAAGCAAGGAGCGTTATCACATCTTGACAGAAAGAGTTTTTCATGTGTAACCTCCCACATGTGGGAAAACAAAAGAAATTACTTTAAAGCTTAAGGCAGAAGTGCAACAAAGACTTAAAATAATTCCCAGTGAAAAATGGGAGTCTATGTTTCTAGATACTCTTAAAAACATGGCTCATATGCCCTCAGAAATTTGGTCAATTCATCAGTGCAGTAACCTGTGACTCATGAAATGAGCTGGTTTAAATGCACCAAATTTTTACAGAAAATGCATCGACCAACTGTCCACAATCCATTAGCAATGAGCAATCTGTGCTTGGTTTCCTATGAGCAGTTCCTTTTGGCCTCTCATGGTTTTTGTTTCCTTTTAATGTGGCGTGCAAGAAGGGATGTGTGCAATGTAGTGACGCCGCAGCTTCCTATGCTACTAGACAATTGCTAATGGAAAATTTGCACTGTTAGATATGCCTAATTTGTTGGACTGAACTTGCTGGTTTTCAAATCACATAAAGCTAAAGTACGTTGACAGTGATGAGTGATACACACTTGCCAGCACAAATGTGTCAGTATATTCAGCTTTGTGAATACATTAAGCACTGTGGATGCACTTAGCATTTGCGTTTTAACTGGGTATTCTGTGGCTGGATTGAGGTTTGCATTTCTGCCCAAGATAAAATGGTGCAGAGGAATTCCACCTACATAGCACGGGTTCACCTTTGTTCTCAGTAAAGTCAGCAGCTTCAGTAGGAACTGAATTTGACTTAAGATCAAAAAGAAAAGTTTGATTTTGCTAGTCTGTCCTCTTCCTTCCTATTGTGTTTCCCTTTCCCTTAAAGGTGGCAATCTGAAGCTGTCAAAGCCGCTTATTAGCTACAACAGTGGCTAAACAGAAAACATTTAATTTTGGAGAAATGGTGAGAGTGTTCTGGCATTATCTCTCTATCA